TTATTTAGTTTTATGTGGTGCTGAGGATCGAACCCAGTGCCTCACATGTACAAGGCAAGCTCTCTACCACTGAGCTACAACCCAGCTCCTCAGTCCCTTCTTATTTTTTATTTTGAGACAGGGTCTTGCAAAGTTGCCAAGGCTTGTACCACTGCACCTGGATGGCCCTTTTTACTGTGGAAAAAAAATTAGAGCAACAATATTGAAGAAATATGTGCTTGTGTATACCAGGTATGGTGGCACACTCCTGTATTTCCACTTACTCAGGAGGCTGAAGCAGGAGGATCACAGTGCGTAGCTAGCCTCAGCAACTTAGTGAGAACCTGTCTCAAAATAAAAAATGAAATGGCCTGAGGATGTGGTTCAGTGGTAAATGCCTCTGGGTTCTAACCACAGTATCCCACTCACCCGCCCACCCCACCAAAAAAAAATTATAATAATTGTAAGTTATCAGGTTGTAATAGAAGTAGGAGCAGAATATTCCAAAACCTGCAATTGCAGGGTCTCCTGGCTACCAAGAATGATAATTAGTTCCTCATTATATTTGCCCTTTGTGTTAAAAGGAAATTCATTCTGATATCGCCTCTTCCCTGCAGGAATAACAGCCAAATGAAGAAGCGGCCAACATCTGCAGTGGGCTACAAGAGGCCTATCAGCCAGTATGCTCGGGTTGCCATGGCAATGGGGTCCCACCCCAGGTATAGGGTAAGAAGCTGGGAAATAGAAATGGGGGATGTGGGGGAGAACCCAAGGAGAGGGGACACTGACCACCTCTACTCCCTCAAAGTACCCATCACTCTTGCAATTCTCAAGATTGACTAAGTGCTGGTCACTGAGGCTGCTGTTCTCATCTGACATGATTCACCACAGGCTGAAAACATCATGTTTTTGGAGTTGGACGTGTCCCCTCCAGCTGTCTTTGAGATGGAATTCTCTCATGACCAAGAACAAGACCCTCGTGCACTACACATGGAGCGGCTCATGAGGCTGGACAGCTTTCTAGAAAGACCTTCCACATCTAAAGTCCGAAAGTCCCGATCCTGGTCAGTACCACCATRGTCAGACTGAGCACTGGGAGGCAGGGGAACAGCATGGGCTGGTTGAGGCTGAAGAGGGTTTTGTTTGCACTCTAATGGGTTGAGGGAAGGAAAGGAAAGGCCTTGCTGTTCCGTCTCCTGTGTCCCTAACCTCCCACTCTGCCTGTCTCATTCCCACCCCTGCAGGTGCCAGAGTCCTCAGCGGCCTCCACCTTCCACCRCACATGCCTCCCTGGCCTCTGCTTCTCTGCACCCTGCAACAGTGGTGGACCATGAGTGACAGCCTTCACAGTCAGACTGCCCATCCAACAGACTTTTAGGATGGGGCAGCCAACSTGGGCTCATCTCATCTGCCGCTTGGTGCGTGTGCGTGTAAGGTGTGCGTGCATGTGCGTGTGTGTATGTGTGAAGGGGTGAGGATCTGGCAGATGCTGCCTCTGCCTGCTATTCTGCGCCTCCTTTATTTAATTCATGTTATTTATTCGTGGAGTTCAGTTATGTGGGGGAGGTGCCCTCACCTGAGCATCTTGGGCCTGTGGCCATCACTGCATAGTCTCCTTTTCTTCTGCCTGGAGACCCCTGGTCAGACCTCAAGCTCCTCCCTGTGTCTCCCACCCTCAGAGAGGAAGATGGCTAGTGCCTGAGAAGACAGTACTTTTTCTATCCACCTCATTCCATAATCTCCATCTCCTCCTACCCTGATGGTGAGCAGTCCCTAAGCACTTTCTGGGACTAGAAAACTACAGGGTGTCCACTGAGGACAAGAGACATCCTGACAGTGTTGGGCCTGTGTTCCTGGTGGACAGAGCCTGCTCTCCACTTTCTGGGCCTCTGACAACCTCTTCTGGCCTCTTGGTCTCTTTTTCAAAGACTTAAACGACTTCACCAAAACTTAGCCTGTGCTCTTCGGCTTTGTCAAGAACTCACAGCTTCCCAAACTCTGCTTCCTGACCACCTTCCCAGCCCTTGGATGGGAATTATGAACCAACCAGTTGTAGCCAACTCAGGACCTGCTGGAAATGGAATAGTATTGAGACATCGTGGACTGTCATCAAGGGAAGTTCCTCCTCTGAGTCCCTTTGTTTCTTTCCCTCTAGAAGTTCCTATGATTGAGGAACTCTCCAACCAACTCCCTGCCTTTTTCTTGTTTGTAGTCAGTACTGGGGATTGAGCCCAGGGACACTCCACCAGTGTGCCACACACCCAGTCCGTTTATTTATTTATTTATTTTTATTTTAAGACAGGATCTAATTTGCCTGGGCTGACCTCGATCTTGCAATCCTGCCTCACCCTCTGGAATCACTGGATTATAGGTGTGCACCATTGTGCCTGGTGCAACTACCATGGCTTCTTCCTGCTTCCATCATTTTTCCCTGCCAYATCTCAGTTCTTAGTGGGAGGGATCTGCTCCTGGCTAAATGAAGGTTATCCAAATCTGTGGTTTTCCTCCTGTATTTGGCCCAGGAGATGGAGACCCAGGCACAATCATTGCTAGCCTTGCTTAATACTTCTGTTTCTCAATCATATTTTGATGGCACGATTTTGTTGAAAACTGATCTGTCCATTACCGTGTGTGCAAGTTGGTCCCTCCTCAGGAATCTTCCATTGTGACAGCCCAAAATGACCCCAAGTATCACAAGTCATAACTAAATTTCTACCCCCACCCCCCAAAAAAAGAGTTAATTTTTATTGACTTTTTTTAATCATATAAAACTTTCATTATTTTTTAAAAAGTCCTTGCACATACTCAATGCCACAAAATTGTATAGAGTTACTTTTTTTTTTCTTTTCTTTTCTTTTTGTTTTGGTACTGGGGATTGAACTCAGGGGCACTCGACCACTGAGCCACATACCCAGCCCTATTTTGTATTTTATTTAAAGACAGGTTCTCACTGAGTTGCTTAGACCTCRATTTTGCTGAGGCTGGCTTTGAATTCCTCCTGTCTCAGCCTCCCCAGCTGCTGGGATTAAAGGCATTTGCCACCATGCCCTGCTTGCATAAAGTTACTTTACATGAGAAATTACATTTGAGTTAAAATTGCAAAGTTCTACTCCATAAAGGTCACTGGATTCCCTATGCTTCCCTGATATGCCTCTAGGAATATGTCCATGATCCTATGTCTATCTTTTTCCAAGCCTTACTCAAAAGATGCTGATAAATGCAAAGATTTCTTACAGAAGAAATTGTAATTTTTCTGTAAACATTTAATAGTTTACTATTTAATTATATGTTGGTTTAAAAAATAGAAAATTCTCTAATACTAAGGATCATAACACACGTACATTGACTTTTTTTAATAGACAGGGTCTCACTGAGTTACTTGCCATTGCCTTGCCTTTGCTGAGGCTGGCTTTGAACTCATGATCCTCCTGTCTCAGCCTCCCTAGCTGCTGGGATTACAGGCATGCACTGCCACGCCTGGCTACCATTGATTTATCTTTGAAGTTGGTATATTGGTGGAAGGGTGACGAGGAAATCATGAGAGCAGACAAGTAACTTAGGATTTCAGGCAGTCTTGCAGTGCGAGTCTCCTGTCTCTTAACCATGAGCAGTTCCATCACTGGAGTCAAGCATGAGGCTGACAGATGTGCTGCGGCAGGTGGCAGTGGGGTCTATTCTCTTCCCTTCAGGAAGTAAGCCCTTCTTGTGCCATTCAAGTTCTCTGAATGATGATTTGGTTTAATTTAACTCAATTGTTGTCTTTTCTGCTGTATTTACTGGACTAGATAGTTGAGCCACTCAATTACCATTTGTTCCTGTCCTTCAAGGAAATCACAGTTTCATCAGAGCCCAAGATGATTTGAGACTCAGGATTCAGATCAGAGATCTGGCTATGGCTGGGACAGAAGCTATGTGTAGATATCCCCAGGTGGCCTGCGCAACGAGGGACTTCCAGGGGACCTCCCCCACTGACCTCTTTCTTGTTTGTGGATGAAACAGCACGTGTCACCCCATTCATCACTTGGACACACTGACTCTGCATTGTCTGGTCACTTGTCCCTCACAGTCTTATAGCACAATTTACCCACTCACCACCCCCAGTCTGTGGGCTGGGCCCAAGGTGTAGTTGGAGGAGGAGCTCCTGCCTGCAGTTTTGTGTACATGTGTATGTGTGTGTTTGTGTGTGTATGTGTGTGTGTGTGTGTTGTACAGGAGACTACACTCAACGTAAGATACGCTGGGAACAGGGCCACTGGGGTGGCTATATCTCAGTCTCTGTCTCTCTTTCTCCTTTTCCTTTTGATGTATCAAAYATTTGATTGACAAAGTAAGGGACTTGATTAGGACCAAATTTCCATGTCTGTTGCTATGGTCTTTATTTAGGACAACAGTTAATGCAGTGACCAATTCTGTCACTCTATACATATGACTATATGGGACATATGTAATATATAAATATATATATAAAACATTACCCTCTGTCCCCTTGGCTCAGGATGGAGGCCTCTTGGTTGAGCAGAAATGCACTGCAGCTTGGTGCTGCCAGCAGCCTGCAGGTCCCAGCCCTGTTCAAATCAACAGTTGACAATAAAGGAATGAGTATCGTTGCGGAGATGCCTGCCTGCTTCTCTTTCCTTTGTTTGTTTGTTTTTTTTTTTTCTTTTAATCCTTGTTCATTTCCTTCCTTCCCTCTCTTCCTGTGAGTGTTGAAGAGTATTTGGAACCCAGCTGCAGTTATCAGCATCTTGGAAAAGCACTGACTACTAAATGAGGGGACATCTGGCCTGGTGCATTGGCACATCTGTAATCCCAGTGACTTGGAAGGTGACGCATGCAGGAGGATCACAAGTTTGAGGCCAGCCTCAACAACTTAGTGAGACCCTATTCCCCAAAATAAAAGATACTGGGGATGTAACTCAGTGATAAAGCACTCCTGGGTTCAATCCCCAGTATCAAAAAAAAAAAAAAAAAAAGATACCTTTCTGCCAAGTAGAGCTGAGGGGATGCCAGGCTCTCATGGGAAGTCTGTACCAGGGCTGTGGCAGCAGCCATTCACGTTCTAGCAGTCCCTAACCAGTTAATTTTGAACTATTAGCAGATTTCAGAACTACCTAGGTTTTGTCCAGTTTAGCTGTTAATGTCATCTCCCCCTGCTCCTCTGTTTATCAGCCAAGAGGGATTAAAGCAGGAAATACACAGCTTTGCCTGGTTTATTATGGTAGATGCTGAATTCAAATAACTTAAAAGTCCAGGTTGAGGGTGTAGCTCAGTGGTAGAGCCCTTACTTTCCATGTGTGAGACCCTGAGTTCCACCTGTAGCCTGTAAAACAAAAAACTAAAATAAGTGGCTCCCTGTAATAGTTTGGTCTTATAGGAAATGAAAAAATAGTTGCCGCTAGAAAACAAACCCAAAGCCTTGATCCCTGACTTCCAGGGGAGCATGGAGGTTCACCTGGTGCAAAACACAAAACAGTGAGCCAGTTGTTTTGCTCTGATGCTTTCTTGGAGGGACTTCCTGCCTCTGCCCAGGCGGGAGCCCAAGCTGCAACAGTTCCAGGACTGGGGCAATTCTGCTGCTTAGGAGGCATCTGCCAGGTATTTTGTGTTTGGTACTTGACATACACAGCTTATTTAATCCTCCCAGGTGGGAATTAAAGTCACTAGTTACCAGCAAAGAATTAAGGAAACTAACAAATTTGGCTAAAGACACAGTGATGAAGCTAGACTTCTGGACCCCAGGGTCCATATTTTTTGCTTTGTGTCATACTACTTCTGTAGCCCATAATACCTCAGGAAAACTGATTGTCCCCCTACATGTTTCACAAGTAGTAAAAGCCAGGGACAGAGTCATCTGTCATCTCCATAGACATGGGTGAGAATAAGACCAGATCTCCAGACCCTTAATTTATGGGCCTTTCCTTCCCCCCACCCCCCACCCCCCCCACACCCATCTTCCTTCCCTCTTTTTTCTTTTTGTAGTGCTGAGGATCAAACTCAGAGCCCCAGTCCTATTTTATCTTATTTTATTTTGGATTTAACCCAGAGGCACTTATCCCCAGCCTTTATTTTTTATTCTGAGACAGGGTCTCCCTAGTTGCTTAGGGCCTTGCTAAATTGCTGAGGCTGGCTTTGAACTTTCCATCCTCCCAGATCACTGGGATTACAGGCGTGCACCACTGCACTTGGCTCCGGTCCTATTTTAAAACCACTCATTTCTGCAGTTAGCAGTGGGGTCACTGGTGTGGGTGTGCCCCATGCCAGGCAGGTGGGGGTGCATGTGCGCAGTTTTAAAGTTCTCATTAAAAATTTGAAGTTGATCAAGAAGGAAGTGGACAATGTAGATATTTGGAGGAAAAACAGAGAAAAAAAACAAATGCAAACTAAGGGATGGGAGTGTGTCAGGCTTGTTAGAGAAGCAGCAGTCAAGTCACAACCTTGCGGAAACAACACAGGGTGTAAAGGTTAATAGTGTGTAAGGGCAGGGACGCTTAGCTCCCTAAAGGGGTTTGCACTGCTACGTCAGCCTGGGTCTGTCTACCTTTTCTCTCTCTCTCTCTCTCTCTCTTTTTTTTTTTTTTTTTTGGTAGTTGGGATTGAACCCAGGAGTGCTCTACCACTGTTCTACATCCCTAGTGCTTTTTATTTTATTTTATTGGTACTGGTGATTGAACCTTGGAGGCGCTTAACCACTGAGCCACCTCCCCAGTCTTTTTTTATTTTTTGAGACAGGGTCTTGCTAAGTTGCTGAGAGCCTCATTATTAATAATTGCTAAGGCTGGCCTTGAACTTGCAATCTTTCTGCCTCAGTCTCCTGAGTGTATCACTGGGTGTACCAATGCACCCAGCCCCACTTCTGGATTTATAATGGATCCTGAGAAACCCCTACAGGTTTAAATCAGTGTTAGAGGGATTTGCCAGAAATCTACATTTTAAATAAGCACCTTCAGGTGATCACAATGAACAGTCACTGAACTCTGAGAATTTCAGTTCCAGTCCTATGTTATTTAGAGTGACTCACAGTGAGCCTACCCTTCATCAAACACCAGAACTGGGGCCATCTGCCCATGTAAACGCAAAGATTGCATTCAGAGATGATAGGGACCAAGGGCACAAAGCTACTCTAGCATATCTTCAGAGGGAAGGGGCCCCTGCTATCATGTTTGGACAAAATTCACTCTCCACCCCCCATGGTACTGGGGATTGAGTGCAGAATTGCTTTACCGTTGAGCTGCATCCCAACCCTTTTTATCTTTATTTGGAGACAACTGTGATCCTCCTGCCTCAGCCTCCAAAGTAACTGGGATTGCAGGTGTGCACCACCACACCCAGTTATAAAGCTACTCTTATTTTGGGGAGTACTGGGATCGAACCAAGGGATGCTTGACCACTGAGTTACATCCCCAGTCCTTTTTGTCTTGAGATAGTGTCTTGCTAAATTACCCAGGCGGGCCTTGAACTTGTGATCCTCCTGCCTCAGCCTCCTGAGTCACTGTGATTACAGGTAGGCGCCATCATACCGACATATCCACATATCATTTGTATCGATATTTATCTATACCTATAACTAGCCAAATACAAAATTAGCCAAATTGGCTACATGTGGTGAGGCCAGAGGCAAGAAGATGAAAGTTCCAGGTCAGTCTATGCAATTTAGGAAGCCCTACCC